CCCCTCCCCCTCCCTCTCTCTCTCTCTCTTTTACACACACACAACTATGTAAGTCAAACCACACACAACTATATAACTCAAACCAGAGTCCAAATTAGTTTGGATTACTCAGCATAGCAATTTATGCCGGAACATTACTGACAACACTAAAACAATCATCCTACAATTAGTGGTATTAACAGCTACTTAGGTGTAGTCAGGGAAAGAATAAGAAAGCCTTGTAGCAGTGTCATTCAAAGGATGGTGGCTATATCTAAGGCTGCATCCCTAAAGAAAAACACCAGAGTATTAACACTGCAAAGGGAAAAGGTACAAGGCAACAGACCTCACTAAAATAATACAGCCAGTCCCTAAAGAATAACCAAAAAATAACAAGCTCTGGGGGAAGAGGGCAATTTAATGAATTGCTTCAATGTATTATTGAAGATACTCAGTTTCTAACAAAAAAGAAATTCTCACACATAAAAATAATAACCTACTGGGCCAGGGATTTGGCTCAGTGATTCCACCATCTGCCTCACAAGTGCAAGGTCCCAAGTTCGATTCCAGGTACCAATCAATCAATCAATCAATCACATATGATCTCTATGCTAGAGGGGAAAGCAAACAGAACTGCCTTGAAGTGACTAAACATCAGATTTTTAAAAGACTTCAGAGTACTCACTCTAAATGTGCTCAAAAGATCAGGATAACCATGATTGTAAAAGTAATGAAACATATGCTGGTAATGTCATGTCAATAAAAATTATCAATAAAGAGAGTGAAATTATTAATCATTTAACAGTCTACTCCAAGCATATTTTAGCCCAAGTGCAGGACATGTGTTTACATACTGACTATCCTGAGTACTGCTTGGGCAGTTATCATTTCAACTAGTCGACTCTTGTATTGAGTAAATTTGATAAATTCTCATTTTTATAGTCCCTGTTATCTTATAAAAATTAATGAGAAATGCAATTTTTGATCATGCTGTATTTAAACTGGATTCATAAGTGGTTAGTGGAATCAAGTGGAAACTGTGGAGTTGAAAAGTATAGGAACTAAAACAGAATGGCTGAAAACTTCCAATACCTCACTTGCAATAATGGACACAGCTACTAAGCATAAAATCAACAAAGAAGACTGAATGGCAGTACTAACATGCCAGCTAGGCAATAAAACAAACAAATTTACAAAGTGAAACAAAATAAAGTATGTTCTCCAATTACAGTGGAAAGAAACCAATAAAAAAGAAATTTGGAAAACTCACAAATATGTGAAAATTAAACACATTCCCAAATAACAAATGGGTCATAGAAGAAATCAAGAGGCAAATCATAAAATAGTTTGAGAAGACACAGCACATCAAGCTTATCAAATACAACTAATACAATATACAGATTTATGACTATAAAAGTCTGTATTTTTTTAAAGATTTTAAGTTGATGACATAATTTTTCCCCTGAAAAATGAACAAACTAAACCTAAAGCAAGAAAAAGGAACAAAAATTAGAGATGAAATTAAAAGGGATAGAGAATGGAAAAACAGAGAAAAACTAATGAAAGCAACAGATAGACCTCTGAAAAGATCAATACAATTAACAAACCAGGAAGCAGACAAAATTAATAGAGAAAAAATAAAATTACTAGTCCCAGGCATGAAGTAGGGGAAATTACTACTAATCTTGAAAAAGTAAAAAGGATTATAAAGGAATACCTATGAACAACCATTTGATAATAAATTTTAAGTAATACAGGAAAAAGAGAAATTCCTAGAAAGACTACTGAAATAACTCAAGAAAAACATAATTCAAATTAATAACTAGTAATCCAAACACAAGTCACCAAGAAAAGCCCAGATGATTTTACTGCTGAATCCTACCAAGCAGTTAATGAAATAATACCAGTTCTTCACAAACACTCTCAAAAAGTAGAAGAGGTGAGAACCCTTCCCAACTCATTCTGTGAAGCTGATATTATTCCAACAACATCAATGAAGGCATCACCAAAAAAACACAACAGATTAGTATCTCTTATGAATATGGACACAAAAAATCTTACATAAAACATTATACTAGCAACATGTAAAAATACATACTATAACCAAGTAGGATTTACCCAGAAATAAAAAGGTGGTTCAACATCTAAAACTAAACATCTAAAGCTCAATTAATGTAATATAACATACCAAACTGTTAAAATGTCATGAACATCTCACTAGAGGAAAAACTATTTTAAAAATTCAACTGAGATTATGGAAAAAATTTTTTTAAATTTTTAATAAAGAGCAAAATAAACAACAGACTGGGAGATCTATTTCAAATGGGAAGGGAAACAAGAGATGGAGAAAGGGGGGAGGGGAGGGGAAAAAAAGTACAAAAGAAAAAATGGAAATAGAGCTTTTGTAAATGGGAAAGGGTTCAAGGGTTGGAAGGACCAGAGAGGGTTAGACGATGTAGGGAATGAAAAACAAGAATTAAGATGTGTAAGATACACGTACCAACTTCCCACAATAAATGTAATCATTATATACTGCAAACATGTACTAACAAGAAAAAACCAGAACAATAAACCAGAAAGTGAAAGGAACTTCCTCAACCTGAT